TTATATTTAAATTTTGATAAGTGGTGAGAATTAAGTGTATTCTTACTTTAAGGAAGGAACGTGTACAATTTCTAAAGAGTAATATTTATTAGTATGTTTCTTATATTACTTTTGATTAAGTGCTTACTTATTAACATTTTTTTACTTATTCTTGTTACTTTCACTAGTACAAAAATAGTGTATAACGCCACACGTTTAACATTCAACTACTGAATAGTCAATGCTAAAAATGACCTGTGATATTTTTGTAAATAAATGCAATTATTAAATGTCGTTTAGAATTGTAATTCGACGTAAAAAGATATAAAACGTCGAATGTCTCAGCGTTAAACGTCAAAAGGTTAGTGAATTCAATAAAAAATTGAGCGGGAAATTGAAAATTCATTCACTTTATCTTAACGCGCGAGACCCTCTTCTCTTCTCAAACTTTTCTCATACGAAGTTTGACGACCACAGATGTAATCTTTCTTTCATTTGATACAAATGCATGTTAATTAACTACTTTATATATGATTTTCGTTTGTTTTGACTACTTATTTTCGTGTTCTTGTCCTTCATAGGTGCATTCTGCTTTCTCTCACTGGTGACGACACTTTATTCCGACGAACTCATCTTTTGAAGGTTAGTTTTCGTTTTCGTTTTGAAGAACTTAATTGTTGAACTTGTTTGTTGTTTCTTTTGTTAAACTTGTTGTTTAGTTGAACTTGTTTGTTGTTGTTGTTTGATTGAACTTGTTTGTTGCTGGTTATTGTTGTTTGTTGTTGATGCTACATTACACGTTCATAGTTCATGCTTTATAAAATATCAAAAACTGAAATTTGTTGTTTTTTTGCTTTTCAGGTATCGTAGAATTGTAAAAAATGATCACAATTAATTAAAAAAAACAAAAAAAATTATTAACGTTGAATATTAACAAAATTCGACGTTAATTAAATGTTGATTTTTTTAAATTCAATGTCAATTTAACGTCTCCTGATATGACATTGACCTCAAATACGACGTGAAAGGCCCAAAATATTAGTGTTTTTCTCTATCATTAATTGATAGTCTAGTATAGCACATCCGTTAATGTATTTTTAAGCATAATTTTTTTATATAATGATTTGTTGCCTTTTAGCAAGGTATACACATATTTCTTAGTTCTTGTGCAATCTGCATTTTGATGGAGCTCGTCATTTTCAAATTAAACTATCAAGTTATAATTTATATTGAAATGTACGTAGGTTGACACCAAATTTGTAAACACAATTTTTAGGAAAAAAATGCTATTAGTTTTTTGGGTTAAATATGCTTTTAGTCTCTAAATTATCAAGTGAATTTGTTTTTAGTCCCTCTTTCAAAGTAAGGTACATTTTAGTCCTCCTCCTTAAGAAAACTTTAATTTTTTGTCCTCCAAAACTAACAGCATTAAAAACCAACTGATGTGGCTAACATCTAGCCACATGTGTTCCCAGCCTTCCTTCTAACTCTTGGCTCATTGGAAGAGTCTTGCAAGCGAGATGGTGAAATTATAGAGCTTCTCTAGCTTGAGATTTGCGTCGGAAGTTATCTCCGATAGGTACCCGTCGATGAATTAGGAAAAGTTGTGGACATACGTGGCCAAAAGTTAGCCACATCAGCTGGTTTTTAATGTTGTTAGTTTTGGAGGACCAAAAATTAAGGTTTTCTTAAGGAGGATGACTAAAATGTACCTTACTTTGAAAGAGGGACTAAAAACAAATTCGCTTGATAGGTTAGGTACTTAAACATATTTAACCCAAATTTTTTCTATGTTCTACATAAAACATTAAAAATATTATTAATTAATTAATGTTTAATACTGAACTAAATTCTACAATGAAACAATCCTATTAACTAAATTCTTATTACTTAATAAATTTTAGATAAACACAAATGATCCACAAACATAACCATTCTGCAAAACGCGAGCTAACAAGATTAAGTAAGCAATTATTTTGTATCCAAAATCAATATCAACTTTAATTTGCTCTAATCAACATTAAATTGTCTAATTTATTGAATTAGAAGGTTATCCCTAATTTGGAATAGCCATAATAATGTAGGCATTACATTTTATAATCCAAACAAGTAGATTGGATGATTAATACCTAGATGAACACCAATGATACACAAAATCTTAATATTGAATATGAGCACCAACATAAAACACGAATCATGAATTGACAAGAAGAAAATATGAAACGGAGAACAAATCACAACCATGAAGAAATGAAGATAGCAAAACACTAATGATGAAAAATAAATCACAACCACAAATCCCAAATTCACGAGCTCAGAATACAAACAAGATTAGAGTTAGAAAAGGAAGGTTTATTGTTGGAAAAAAAGAAAAGATAAGAGAGTTTGAAGTTAGAAAAACAAAAGGTTAGATTATCATGTTAGTTGAAATTAAATTTGACATTAAATAACTTGTTATTATAATTGTTCCCAAATATCAATTATAATTTCAACTCACATTATCAATTTGATGGTTATTACAAAAATATCATTGCATCTCTTATTATAAATAAACTACACCCATATAATAAGTTGTTATTATTTTCTATTTTTTACTACTGAAATATTAGAAATTGTTCATATTCTCTTAAAAAACATATGAAATTTAATTAAATAAATTATATGTCATACTATTATATATTATATCCAAAAACATCTTGTTATAAAGTGATTCTCTCAACTAAAAAGTATATTAATTATATTTCATTAATAGAATTTTGTTATCATATTAATTTCAATAAAACAAATATTTTTATTAAATAACATTATAAAACATTGAGATAAATTAAAGCTATCCAAGTATTGACCATTACAAATACTAATTACCTATAACAGTTAGTTGGATAAATAAATTACATCTGAATATTTTAAAATAACTTAAGAAAAAACTTAAAATGATTTATCTTAATTAATTCCAAAAATTACCTCATAAATCACTTCTAATTTTAAATATACATTGGGCTGATATCAGCAATGACACGAATGGCCATTGACCCAGAAATTTCTAACACCATAGCCCAATCTTTCTCATCACAGTGCGAAGATACTATTTACACTCCCTATTTATTAATGCACGGTTTTCATTTTTTTTCCATTTTATTAAATTGTAATTTTAATGTCTATTTTTGTATCCATAGTTTTTAAATTTCTTTCTATAGTTTTAGTTATTATATTTTAAAGGATCTCAAATTTTGAGTCAAGTTATATTTTTACACTTAGGTTTTCTTTATTTAATTTTAGTATAATTGAAGTCTAAATAATAATTGTACTGTATGTGGTTAAGTATTCTTCGACTATATCCATATGGTTTTAGTTCTCAGACAATGCACCGCAGATTACATAAATGAATACATCCTCACTATTTGCACTTAAACATGTTCAATTTGTATGGTAAGTGACTATTATTAGACAGATTACTTGATTTCTTATACTGATACTTATGATGCATAGACTACTATGTAGTTGTCTTTAAAGTAAGATCAAACGTTCAAGGTGAATACACTATTGGACCCATAAACTCCATAAAAAATATTATAAATAGCTCTTATTATAAGGAATATAATTTACGTTTTTTATTAGTTACACATTTATTATTTTACTGATGTGAGAGTGTGAAATATCTTCTACAAGGACAAGTAATGAAGAAGAGGTCGAATATTAAAAAGATCAAAAGTTAAATATTTTTAAAAAATGTTTGAAGTCTTTGTAGAATACATTATCCATAAAAAATATAGTCAATCAGTTTTCTAAATAAATATTAGTTATCCAAAAAAGCCAATAAATATTCCATATGAATAATATGCTTATAAAAGAAAAAAACTAAAACTAACTCATTGGTGGAAGATGCCATCAAAGCAATTCAGATAGGAGATATATACTGTATATTTATCTCTGAAAAAGCAGATTTTTGTATACTATAAAGGCCGCTTTCTTGTGATTCCAAAATTCCAATGAGAAGAAATCTTAGTCGTTAAGCTTACAACATCAAAAATAAAAAGTCTATAAAATGAACGCAAAATCATCTGTGTAAAAAACTTGTTTGATTTACATTTGCATAGCTTTTGAAGTGTAGGTCGGAAGCATTGTTTTCATTGCAGAGTATAATTGTAATTGACTTTAGGTGAATAATAAACACTTTTTAATTTTTCATTTTACACTAATCAAACCCAACCTTACATGGGCCATGCTATCATTACCTCTTGTTTAAACATCAATTTGCTAAAGATGATGTACTTTATATTCATTGTGTATGACTCGTCCACGTTTGCTCTCGTGAACACAACCATATAATTAATTAAATACATTAAAACTTTGAAGTCATCCCAATAAAATCTGTTAAATTGATTATCCATCATGCTGGGGTCCAACAACAATTTCAATCAATGGGTTTCTTCCACCACCCTTTGAATTCAAACTCTTTTATCGTTTTCATTTAAACCCTAACAAACATAAACCCAACCTTATTCAAGGGTTGTTTTCGACATATCCATAATATCTCCTTCTGTTGTTTTTGGACTTAATTTCCCAATGTCGAGATATCGAATGTGTCGGTTCATATCACGAGCCGTTCAAAGATATGCATTGTTTATGTTCTGCTCAGTTTTTCACATTTTGTTCTTTCCCAAATTCATGGTTTTTTCTTTGAGGATGCGTCTCTTTGTTCTCAGGCAAGACCTAGAGGTTGATAATGTCATGAGGAAGAGAAGAGACTACTCACAAGAGATATATTTTAACCAAGGAATATTTAACTATTATACTTATTTTTTTCATGAAATAATAAAGATAAGGGTTAAATATGTTTTTCGTCCCTTAAGTATTACACGATTTTGGTTTTAGTCCCTACTCGAAACTTTGATGGTTTTTAGTCCTCGTAGTTTTAAAACTATTAGTATTAATCCTCAAAAATGGACGGCGTTAAGTTTTAGTAAAAATATCAAACGGCAATGTCCAACTGTGCTCTGCACTTTCTGCCACGTTGCTGGTCAATAAAAATCTGACACTGAAGTGGCCATTCTCATTCTTCCTCCCTCACCCTCACTACTCACATTCACAACATGACTCATATCTGGCCTTTGGTTTGGTTCCCTGGTAGTGCAGTGCCCAGCTAACTCGGCAATGATGGAGACAATATCGAACATCTCTTCCTTTATGTCAAGGGCAGGGTCAACAGCAGTCATTAGTTTCTCCTTGTCTGATTTTACATGCCAGAACCACGATGCCAAGTACTGGCTTTCCTCAGGTCTATCTTCATCAAGTGCCATTAATCCAATTAACAGCTCCATTAGAACAACGCCGAAACTGAAAACATCTGCTTTGGTGGTAACTTTTCCTATCACTAAAATATATAATATAAAAAGAAGAAATCAGTGTAATCTAGTGTGTCAAACACATCAGGATCATGCATTTGGGTCTGTAAAAGTTTCAATATGGTCCCTGATAATTATATCATGCAGAATCATACTAAGTCTATCCTCCCTGGTGAGATATTTCTCTCTGTTTTCTGTGAAAATTTTTAAAATTGTATTCACTTATTTTCAAGATTTCCCATTATGACTATATATATATATATATATATAGAGAGAGAGAGAGAATCAACAGAGCATGCAATAGCATACAGAATCAACAGAAGTCACAGAAAAAATAACCTGATTAAATTCGGGAATATTATAAAATTTCCTATTATAAAAGATTTTCAAAATAAAAAAATACAAAATTACCTGCATATTCTGCTGCCAAGTATCCAAATGTACCAGCAAGCCTGGTCACTACAGATTTTTTGCCATCAGGGGCAAGTTTTACCAATCCAAAATCCGAGACTTTTTCTCTAAAGTCATACCCAAGCAAAATATTTGATGATTTAAGATCTCTGTGAAT